ACGTCACTTCTGTTGTTTGATTGAGTAGCCTTATGTAGTATGTAGTTTGTCGTCTGGCTGGCCGTGAAATGCAATATTAATGAGTCACTCACTCGTGTACAAGATATATTAGTACGCTGAGCGCTGTATTGTCCGTACGTGTCCCGCGTTCATGGCTCGAGATGCGTTTGTTCTCCGACGCGAGATTGTTTACGTGCATTCACTCTCCAGACCTGCGCTGCTTTATTGAACTGCTGTATTGTCTTGATCAGTCATTGTTATATATGATCCTCATTTACTGCTTTACAAGTCCACTCTATGTGATAATATTTTGACTTTGATTGAACAATTTATTTTTTGGTGATCCAAAATTGAATATTGAGACTGATTTTCTTGTTGAAATCCTTGGCACTGCTCGATATGGTCTTTACCGTATAATAGACATAAGTCATCAATACTCGAGTGTATAGTTTGTTGGACCTTGAACAAAGGTTTTTAGTCTGCTTTCAAAGCTTTAATACGTTGATTAAGCAAATTTCCATCTTTAACTATATTTTACCTTGATACACTATTCTGAAACATTTTACTTTGATCCTCAGTAATCATGTTGGGATATATTACATCCAAAGACTAAATTGTCTGTACTGAACACTATTAATGCATATCTTGCTATGTCATGGGATGAAGTCTTACTTCCGTCTCAATTTACACCACGCGCAAAAGGTTCAGTGTCAAAAAGGAACAAATTCATTATAAACTTGTATGGGATGTTCATATTTTTGCGTCGAGAAGAGGTCTCAGCTAGGAATGAACGTAGTTTTTGAATGTTAAGGCTACTGTTACAAAATACCACGTCAATTTGAAATTAATGTGCACATATCAAAGTGAACAATGCAGCATGAAGCCGTTCTGGACGCTGAGCTACCATCTCATGTACTCTAGGTACAAGCTCAGGTACCCGAGTGTGACCGCGCTATATGGCAGGTAAAGCCGTGGTTGAACTAGTATAAGGTTTACCCATGAGAAGCTCATTTTTGCGGATGTAGTTCCTTGCTCACCAGTGACGTCACTGATCTCAGTGACGTCACTGGCATTAACCAATCACCGAAATGCGATCAAACCAGTCAAGTAACGGTCATGGGAATGACGGGTTATTTGCGTTTCTCGATCTCAGTGACGTAACAAGAAAGCTGAACTGACGACGGAAATCCTCGTGGGTCTACCTTATTTAGTTCAATCATGGGTAAAGCTACCAAGCTTAGCGGGAAAGCAAATGTAGCGGCCTTCCATCACAGTGTTGCAGAAACTCTTATCAACATCTACTGGTTACACACTTATTCTAATGAAAAAGAATTGTGAATTTTTATCGTTTCCATTTTTTGCCTCTGTTTATCAGATCTGCATCGCTGAATTCTCAAATTTCGAAAAAAACTGTGAAAGCTCAACGTAACGGTCAACATTCGAAGTATATATATATATAAAAACCTTGAGATATTTATTTTTGAAGGAATTTCAAATAAATTACCGGTGAGTATACGTCTCAAACGGATGGTCACTCACGATGCGAGGAAATAAGCTGCCTGGCACAGAGAAGAGCAGGCAGCTTTCTCGGGCGTGAGAGGCGGTGCCCTCGCCTTTCTCATGTCGCCCTTGATGGCGCATCCGGCTTTCGCTCTCAGCGTCCTCGCTTGAGCTGACCTGAACCTGGGCTGCTTCTTCGTCTCAATGCTACTTCGCTTTATATGCGCGTTGTTTCCACACATCAACGGCGATCTTGGCATGCAAAATGTTGGACATTTTTTAATTACTCGATGTCAGATCTAGTATCCCTTCTGTATGCTATAGTAACTTTATTGGTACACATACCTGTCTTCTGAAAAAACTCTCCTCAATTTTTTCCTTATAACTTTCGAATAATAGATTTAGCACTCTGAAATTGCCATCAAAACTTGAACCTTTTACTACCGCATCAGCAAAATATTATCTAGGCTTTTATTGCTAGCTGGTGCAACTAGGAAGCGAAATTATGCGAAGTCGAAGAATAGAAATTCATGTCTTTGCTGAAACAGTCCATTGGCTTAAAAAATAAAGAAGCCTGCCTTTTAGTATGTTAAAAGGGTCCATGTTGAGACCTTAATCTGTTGCAGGAGCCAAAATAAAAATGCTTAACTAGAGAAAAGTCTATTGACTTTGCTGTTCTCATTTTAGGCGCTTGACTCTGGTCAATTTTGGTTTTGATATAATTCTTTCTAACTCGTTTTACCGACTTTTGAACCGACTTCTTGAAGTTACAGCCTTAAAAAAACATTGTGTATGTGAATTTAATGAAAAATTATTTTAGGACCAATATGTTTTTTTCACATAATTCAAGAAACTACAATATGCAAATTAGTTTTGCAGTAAAGTTCAAAAGTAAACAACAATTTAAACATTGTTTAAATGGGGCTAACATAAAACAGTTACTTGACACTATTATGAAGTTGATTTCTTCCACACTGATGAGTGAAAAAGACCATAAAGTCTTCCAAACATTTAGACGAACTCACTAGAATCACAAAATGCACTTTGGTATGAAGTTATGAAGCTACTTCTCTGATTTTAAATTATTATGTGTCTTGAATGGCTTAAGAATAAATTAGAACTTAGAAGACCTAGCCATAATTATTTAATGGGTGTTTTCTTACTCGAATTGGAGTAGGTGTTATATAGCTCAGCCTTATAATTTCGAGCAGAAGCAATTTGAGGTGTGCGTCGCGATCTTTACGAGGGTTTATTTAAACCCGTTTTGAGTGCAGAATAATAGACGATTGAATGAGTTACAGACGCTGGATGTATCTTGCATTACCGTTATTTTTTTTAGCCGAGCATTGTTGTGCGGTGTTGCGTGAGCCCGTCATTGTTCCTATTCACTGCGTGCGCTCTTATCAGAGTTCACTCTTGCTTTTGGTTATGACGTTACCAATGCTGCCAGCGTCGAGCCTGCATTCAAGAATTATTAGTTTGCTGCAATCAGTTGTGGCTTTACGTTCTTTTGCGGTTGCTCTTGTAAAAGTAGGTGGTTTTTCTTTTTGGTCTCATAGTTTTAATATGTACCATTCAGGGGTTAGACAAAATAAGGGAAACGCCTGAGAAATCCACAAAATATATTCTAGCATGGTGTATATTAAACTTTTGCTGCAATTGCTGCCTCAATTCTCTGAGGTATTGATTCATACAAATTTTAGATTTTTCCAAAAGAATTTTATTTTAAACGTAAACTCGGTCAGAGGTTGGAAATGAGGTAAACGATGATTCCTCGGAGAAAATCACATTTTCCCACTGCTTGAGCCTTGAGGAACCAATCCTGAATGTTTTTACACCACTCCAAGTGCTTTAAGGCATTTGCATTTGAAACCAGATGTTTTCTAATTGCAGTTCTTCCATAGAATCAAGATCTATGCAGCTCTCGGTGGACAGTCTTTATGGAAACTGGGTTCTGTAAGTGTCCATTGAGGTCTGCAGTAATTTCAAGAGCCGACGTCTTTCGATTGTCCCTCACAATTTGATTTAGGTGCCGACTGTCTCTCAGACAACTTGGACTCTCGGCCAGACCTGTGCTATGCTCTGGACGTTTTTCCTTCTCTTTAAAAAGCAGTCATTAATTTACCTGTGCTATGCTCTGGACGTTTTTCCTTCTCTTTAAAAAGCAGTCATTAATTTTGAGAAAAAGCAGTCATTAATTTTGAGATATTACCTTTGGAAACGTCAAGAATTCGGGAAGTTTCTGTCACACTAGCACCTGCCATACGACTCACCAACAAGTTGTCCTCTTTGAAAGTCAGAGAGGTTTACCATTTATAGGTTATATGATGTAGGTTAGGTTATAGACATAAAAATTTACTAAAAATATCTGTGAAAGGATAGAATATCATCAATTAACAGCAACAATAAACAATAAAACATAAAAGATGTCACGTTTTCTTTGTTGATAACATCTTCAAAAATCACGATATCAAAATGTCAGATGTTTCCCATATTTTGTCCAATTCCTGTAGGTTTGACTGAACATTTAATGTTTTTGCATATGGGATCGAATTATTGATGCCGATGTGAGCAGAGGTCTCAAGTAAACGCTGTTATTGTTAATATAAGTACGGTATGTCTGCACCGCTGTTTGCGAGTTCTCGGTAGCTGTTATGGCTCTGTGACACTACTCGTGTATACGTTACGCGGTTACGGCCGCTTTCACAAGAGTGTTGCGTGCGTGGGACGGTGGCGACTTGTTTAGCTGTGTTCTCCTAATTGCTACTTAGAAGTGCAAGCGTCTGTTCTTGCTTTAAGAGACATGCGCTGTCACTAGAATTTTCTCTTTGAGTCAACTAATGGTATTTCTTCGTTTTATTAAGTTTTGGTGATGACTGCCGCAAGGAATCAGTTTCTTGACGAGCTATCTGTTTGTTCTTTACATTTTCCACTGATGGCCGGGAGTGATCGTGAATGGAACGGAAGAGTTCCATCCACCCATTTACGTGGTGAAAATTGCAACCCTTGTGCTCTCTAAATAGTCCTAGTGCTTCAAGACGTAAAGAGTTACACAGAATTTACTAATAAATCGCGTATTGTGTATTTTACAACTATTAGTTAAATTTTCCACCCTGCTGCTATATTTTGTTAGTCTTATTGTCAGTCAATGTATCAGAGAAATAGATTAATATTGTGTTGGGGAAGAAGACAGTTTGTAATGGAGGCGTGTTTACAACCTGTTGAAATGTAGGTACTACTGAGCCATATTGTATCACGGGACTAGGACCGTAATCTGTAGGGTTCAATCACTTTATATTTGTGATCAGGGATTTGATGCTTCTGCCGACTATTGTACCTCATTCCATTTTCATTGCAAAAACTAGTCAACAAGTTCGGTGATTTCACCCATTGCTCCTTCATCACTTTGAAGATTGTCTAGGTCTGATTTTAAACCAACAACATAAAGTTTGTGCGGTTGAATATCGTGCTCGTGTTCTATAGCAAATTATATATTTCAGATAAACTTGCGGCTTATCCTCGTGAGCGGCAAGACGAAGGAGTTCCTGTTCAGCCCGAGCGAGAGTGCGGGCGACATCGCGCAGTACGTGTTCGACAACTGGCCGCACGAATGGGCCGACGAAGGCGTTAGTAAGGCGGAGATCCTACGCCTCATCTACCAGGGGCGCTTCCTGCACGGCAACGTCACACTGGGCGCCCTCGGCCTGCCCACTGGCAAGACCTGCGTCATGCACCTCGTGCCCAGAGAAAACCTGCCCGAACCCAACTCACAAGGTCGGCTTCTATAATGCATAAGTGTTAAGTGATGTATTAATTGATATATTCATATTAATGATATATTGGAATTGATTCGTAATAAACAAATACTATACGTATATACCAGTCAACTAATTTTGCATTGAAAGGAAAGTCAAGCTCCTTTTCGGTCGTTTTTTTATGCCCGTTTTTCCTCCGAAATATTCTATCTCATTTCTCTAATTTAAGTTTGTTAGTAAAAGCTTTTCATTGGAGAAATTAAAACGAGGGAGAGGTTTACAGTAGTTCCTGTCCAGAATTACCTGTTAGTTAGTGTGATGTCCAGTTGTTAAGGTTGTCTCATACACGTTTTGTTCACAGACCAGCGACAGAAGAGCAAGAGCGGTACCACGAGCTGCTGCTCAGCGTCCTGCTCTATACTTTAGTGACTGTGCGAGTCCTAAACCACATGTCAGGGACTGTAAACCATCATTGCTCTGCCTCCTCCTCCCACAACCAATCACGTTATTTTACCGTCATCCGTGGATCTCCAGCTTGCCTTCCCCTCTCACGTTCTAGCCACGACTTTGTGTTCACATCTTTCAGTTTGTCATTCATTCTCGCGAGTGAATTTGGCCGCGCAAGATGAAGTAACACCCTCTTCTTCCTGTGCTATCCTACCGGTCCTACGAACTCATTTTATGTTTGTTCGTTGCCAATGTTGATTTATGCGTCGAGGTCGGGGCATATGAACGCGTTATATTCTCGTAATTATTCATCTATTAATAGGTTCATCTAATCATAATACGCATCTAATAACACGTTAATCATGTTAATGCTTCACTTTTGTCTTCGTTGAAGCATCTCTACTTCGTGACGTTTTGCCATCTTCTTGATATTGCTACTAGTCTTAACGATTGTTCTAAAATTATTCGGCCTTAGCAGAGCCTACTGCACTAATGAGGCATCGGTGTTTTTCTTGCAGTATTCTTTATGTAACGTCAACGCTTCTTTCGTGTCTCGCCCTCAGTCTATCTAGAGCGGCATGTGTATGGTCATTACTGAGCCTTGGGTACATCTTGTATTTTCTGATTTATTCATGGCTTCTTTTAAAATATTTTCTTCCATCATGAGGTGCGCTCACATAGATTCTTTCCAAGACTTTTTCTGAGATGATCTGAAATTTTACGATTTATTTTCGGCCCACATTACAGTTGTACGTATATTTTTTTTGGTGTCCTAGGCCAAGTACCATTTTTTTACGCTCAAATTCATTACCAAGATTTGAAACTCCTACTATTTTTTGTATTTCTGTGAACCGTGGGGGCAACCGAGAGACTTTTTCTCTTGACCTTTCCATGTACCGTTTGCCCTCCCCAGTCAGTATTTGCTCCAATAGGATATTGAAGATTTTGAACTAGATCAGGAAATTAGAAAGGAAAAGAGTCTAAAAATCACTCGTTTGCCATTATGATGTGAACATAATTCATCACCTTGCGAAGTGTGTTTCCTCGTAGTGTGTAAAATCCGAATTCATAAATTCTCAGTTTTTCATGCTTTGCACATTCCGTGATCTCGTTTTGTTGCCCACTATTTCGTCGTGTTTAAATTTAGCGTCAAGTTATTTGCAGTTCATTTCCTCTGACCCGTCTCGTTATTTTCAGTCAATTTCGCTCTTCTTTCAAATTAATGGTTTGTTTTACGGTTGCATGAGCGGCTTTGATGTTTGTCCCTGCATTTTAGGCTTCCCTCATACAGTGTTAGTTCTAACCTCTGCTGAACTGTCCCTGGGAATGACGCGTCTTGCAACGACTCTTGAAAATATCCACATTCACGCAACCATACCCATTAACTCGTATCAAGTGGCCACGTTCGCGCAACCGTTTTCGTCAACTTGTATCAAGTGGCCAGGCGACTGCAGTCTGACAGATTCAATGTCGCACGTGCAGGCGAAAGTGGAACTCGACCTTGAGAAGTGCAAGGTTCATTATGCCTGCAAGTAACGTGTGGCAAAGCCAGCGAGAGTTGAGCCTGTGATCGCCAAATCGTAATCGCTCAACCAATGTGCGTGTTATGACGTGAGGGGCTGCGACGTGATGTGTTGACTTGTCATGTCCCGAGTTTACATGTCAATGGAAGAATTTTTGCATCCTTCCTTAATGAGACTTTCTGAAAAATGTATTCAAGCGTGTGAGATAATAGACGTATTAAGTGAAGAGTTTCTGATAATGTGTGGAATGTGTATTGCACAATGGCTGTGTAATGCGTGTTCAGGGGTTGTATGTACCACACATTTCGTCCTGCTTCTCCTCTCTATGCTTCTCTAGATACTACATGCTGCCCACTCGATGACAAATATTTCACTCAAGTTTTTGCAGGCTTCCAGCACTTATATAATTATGCAGAACTTGTGTTGTTTTCCGAAATTTGATGAGAAGGCCCGCGTGAGAGTTGATGCTCTGAGACAGTTCCTATTTATACGCAATCAAATATTTCTCTGATTTCAGGCAAAACTTTAAAATGATTTGCTTTATTAGTCTCTTGCATGGTTACGTGTAGCAGTTGTCCAGAGCCGCTCACTCGCCTGTCTTCAATATTCAGCTGACGCTTCCACTCTCTCTTATCAAGTATTTCTCAGCCTCATATGTGCAGATTGTGAGTGCCACTGCATTGATGCTCCTCTGAAGGACGGCTTAGTCCGAAGTCACTCTTGTGAATTTCGCCGCGATTCTTTGGTTGTTCGAACGACTGCGATCTGTCCAGTGTCCTCGCATCAATATTTCACTGCCGCCACAGATTGCAATTATCTTGAAAGTATATCGCTTATTATTACGAGGCAGACATCGCTATAGGCAATTCTTTAAATACAAATGCGCATTACTTTTGCATATTAGCAAAAGCGGAACATATTTCATCGATAACGTGAAGTATGAAGCTAATCGTTTAGTAACTTTAGTTCATGCATCTTCACCTGATGAATGTTTTACCTTCTCATTTTCTGACGGCTGTCCGATACAATGCTTTACCCCAAGAAGGCTTCAATGCACTTAACGTTTGAACTCCACCTCTCCATCTATTTCTATTTATTTTTCTCTTGTTTTCCTTTGCAACTAGAGATTATTGGAGTCGACAAGATAGTAGCATCAGTCCTAATAACATCAAGCGTAGATTTAGAATTATTTTGTGATTATTTCGCGTTTCCCCCTTCATGATTGTAAATGATGTGCTGGTTTTCACGGAATTTACCGTCTTTGTAATTTGCAGCACAATTACCAGTGATTGTAGACGGTATTGTATTTTCATTAGTGACGAGTGTAACGTTATTTTGTAGTTCGAGCAGTTCGTCGATGGTCTTTGGTTTTTTTTTTTTTTTAAATTATTTTGTTGAGATGTTAGCCAGACGATGTCGGGCTAAAGAAAATTTCGTGTTTGATATTCATAGGCTTCGGTGTCGCACTTATCACTGATCCATTATCAGCCTCTTCTTATTTCATTACTCAATACGACGAGCTCTTTTTTAGTTCCATTGTGCAATTATGTGTACAGAGTCTGTTAAGTTTGCAGTTCTAGCGTATATTCATAGCTATATTCAATCAAGTGCTGAATCTCAGTAATATATACCATGTGATTAATCGAAACGCTTCACTGAAGGGCTAACGATGAAGTTTTAGTTCTTTGTCTTTGTGAGTCAATCTCTAAGTAGTTATTTTTACTTGGTCTGTGTAACAGTTCGATTTTGTGTTTCATTTAAATTTCACAGTATCCATCTATTTTTGAATGTAAAAAAATCGATAAAACCAACGTGGATTTGACTGAACATTAGCAAGTAAGTGGGAGTCGTGCTCCGAAATCAATTATTGATCATTATAGATATCGTAACGGTCTTATTGGGTGAACATGTGACATCACTCTCAGCTATTCTGCGATAATGAACGCCGTTTCGGGATGCTCGGCGTCCTGTACATCCTGCATGCCACATTTGGCCATTTTACATTTTTCACTTCATGCGTGTTATATTCTTTGTAAATAATATTGTGTAGGCTGGTAGTCTCTCGTGACCTTGTCCTAACCTCGTTACTCTTTGATAATCACTCGTCAGGAGTGCGTGTAGCTCCCGTGCCGTGCCTCATGTCGCCCTTAAATTCCTTCAACGACGAGCCTGGGGTTCCTGCCTCTCGTTCATCATGTTCCAACACCCTCGCTTATTCTTATTCCAAGAAATATAATAAAAATCATATTTTCTGTGTAACAATCTCCAAATTACCGCCAAAATACGTCATGGCTGATTTTCATTGCTTCGAGTTACCACGAGCAAATCAGGGAACTTGCGTTGTCAGAAAAAGGGTTCTGATTTGATCACAACAGAAATTTAGTTCACGTGTTGACCAACTAATGCAGTTCTCGACTGAAGCGCGGCTCTTGTGGCACTATTGACATGCCAAATTTTATTAATTTAAGCACCAATATTTATTTGAACACATTTATGCATGCTCGTGTTTTAGATGCGAGCTCTCAAATCCATTACGCTTATGATTGATAAACGATACAAAAAGGCTTCACTAACGCCATTGGTGGAGTAACGCTGTCACGCCCTCGCTTACATCGGCTTCGTCATTAGAGTGGAAGTTATACGCATAGTCCGGCAGGATGTGCGCTTCATAACAACGCATCCGTGCGTTACGATTACCGGAACGAATTTTTTTCTTGTTCTCTTTAGATTCGAACAGATTTCGACTTATCCCCGCCTTCGAAATGTAATTTACTGCTGAGGCTTCATAACGTTGTTATAGCTGTTACAATCGTTGCCTCAGCAACCTTCATTATTTCATCAGTACAGATAGTCGTCTGCACGATTTTCTTAAATAGAATTAAATTATTTATTGAAATACAACCACTATCACTTAGTTGAACTGATAGACCAAGTCGATTTCGACTCGCGAGTTGGGAGCGATGGCATGGCGCGGGAAATATTTTTGGTTGATTTGCATTAGTTGTGATACGGCCGATGGTCGTCGTCAGTTGATGGTTAGGTTAGAATTGAACACTTAGCTTAGCTCTTAAGATGTGTTGGACGGCGCTTGAGCGGTGTGCGAATGTTGTTCACTTTAGTCCCTTGTTCTACGCGTGCATTTGTCGGCCGGAGCCAACGCTGTGCGTCAATTTACATGGCATGAAGGCGACCAAATATTATTGTGTTAATGGGGAGACTAAAGTTCTGAGAACTCTGCGTGATATTTTGTAAGGCAATTATTTTGTCAAGAGATTTGTGAAATCACGGTGATAATTGGGGTATTCGTTATTTTTTCAAAAGTAAATCGTCCAATTTGTTATCTCTGTTGAATGATAATTGTGCAATGCATTTTGGAACTGGTATTGAGACAAAAAAATTTATCTTATGCGTCAAAGTTGATAGAAAAAGTACCCGACTCGAGTGCGTGTATAGAGGAAATATCTATTTTATGGTCTTTTAATATGTAAAGTTATCTATATGAAGTTGGTGATGAAATCGACTCCTCTGTAACATATTGTGAATACCTGAATAAATGAATAAATATTGGGCCGCGGCCCTACTACAGGAGACGGTGTGTCATTTACCCAAGTTTAGAGACGGTGACATGTATTACAATTTATTAGCTCAAGTATAACATTTTTGTTCTTCTACGAATAATAAGAATAAGGTAATAGTTAAGAATAGGAATGCAAAAAAAATATTGCGCAACCTCCAGAAATAAAAAAAAAAATAGGTAATACTAGAAGTGCAAGACTAGCCGGCCTCGCTTTAAACATCGCAACAACTATTACTTGCATCATTCTTAAAAGAAGATGGCGGTTTATTAGCGTTAAACTTAAGATGTAGAGGAAAATTTATCCTGCTAATATAGGATATGAGAAAGATAGCAGGATAAATACATTGATAACGTGCCACTGAACATGTAGTTCTTTACAGTACGAGTAAACATGAGTTAGCGCTTCCTCAGCGTTGGTGAACGAATGGAGAAAAAGTCAAGTCCAGTGAAAAATATTTGGAAATCTAAAAACCAAACACGGTGTAATCAAAACCAACTGATTACATCACATATTACCAGCAATGCCTAACAAAATAAATGAGATTCTAAAAAAAATTATACCGATAAATCGAATATATTGCGCCGTTTGTTTTTCAGCTCGACCGGGTACTTTGGTGAACAGGAATAATGACGTTTGTGAACAGAAGGAACGATTCGACTGAAATTCAGATTTAGCCAGAAACATTACGCACAAAACATAACTTTTTTTAGCTGGGATTTTATGATATTGGAGACCTTCAGCAAATATAAAGGAGTAGAGCTAGAACTAAGTCAAAGTAAATACGTTTCTTAAATGAACTTGTCAACTAAAATAATCAACCATGGTGATGAAATTACAACGTAATAATACAATACTTTTTAGCTCTCTCTGCGTTGCCAACAAAATTGAGGTCAAGAAGCTTCTACGATAGATAAAAAAAGTAAATGGCGAGTAAAAATCCATGCAATGAAATAAGAAACTTGATCTCCTTGGCTGCTCAGACAAATTCCCAGTAAGAAAGTGGTTGTTAAATAAAATGTACAATTGAAATCTATGCGTTTCTACAAGCGCTGCATATAATAATGAACACGGATGATTAACGACGAGCCACGCCATTGGAAAAAGTGCGTCTCTTATCGCATGATTGATTTCATTATTCAGTATGAGGTAGTGACTGTAGTCTGGACCACTTGTCCAACTTTGAGATCAAGCCCAAGTTTTGTATCTGAAATAACATTGCCGTGTTTATCTTTAACTCGGATACGTCCATTAGGGTAATTTGTCTCGCTGCTTCCGTCGTCGTAGATGACTTTAGCGGTACCATCAGGATATTCACGTCGCTTAAAGCCAGGTCCGTGGATCTCACGCTGCCCGCTCACAAAATTGAAGACCTTTTCACCCGAAGGCGTCGAAGTGATCGTAGTGCCGTCTGAGTTGTGATGAACCTCAGTGCCGTCAGGCAGCTTTACGGTCTTGCTTTTGTCGGGATAAGTAATTTCAATTGAGGTGTCGGCCCGTTTTATTTCCATCTGACCGTTCGGAAATTCAAGTTCTTCGGAGCCGTCCAAATATGTCGTTTGTTTGGTCCCGGTGTCTTGGTAGAAGTACACGATGCGATCTCGATACGTCTCTTTGCGATCACCGTTATAATATTCCATGGTCACGCAGCCAGATGGCAGGATTGTTTTCTTGTTGCCGTTGGCGTAAGTAATTACTTTGGATCCATCACTCAAATTTTCTTCCGAACAATCAAGCGAGGAAACAGAACGAAGGATGCCATTGTGAGTGCTCGAGGTGTTAGTCCGTTCACTCGAATTAGATAGATAGGAATCAAGAGATCGCTGTTCAGCAGGGGCGATGTTTTCCAGCAATTTCTCATCAAAAGATACGGTTTTTAGTGGGACGTGGTTAGAAGGCGAGACAGATTTCTTCAGTAAGTCCTTGCGAAGATTAGAGGCAGAAGAGCAGCTAGGACGTCCAATAACAGGAACTGATGGAGCGACATTGGGATTCTTAGGCTTTGATTTAGTAGCGAGTCGCTCGTAACCAATTCGAGACGAGAGCTTAACACGGTCTAATTGATGCTTTAAAGACAAGTTCTCTTTCTCAAGAGAAGATATTTTCTGCACTTTGGCTTCAAAGTCTTTCTTTTCCGCCGTTAATTCCTTTAGCTTATTTTTCAATTTATTGACATTAAAATTATTCAATGATTCGCGGCGCTCCATCTCATTTTTCAACATTAAAATTTCTTCCTTTAAATTTATGATTTCAAGAACATTGTTTGTCGTCTTCGGTTCAGATTTTTTACTCAATTCCAAGGCACATTTCTCTTTCCACAGTCGATTCCTCTCCACTTCAAACTGCTCTTCCATATACTTCCTCTCTCGCTCGAAAGTTTCTTCAAATAATCGTTTTTCCTTTTCAAAAACTTCTCTTTCACGGGTGACGGTAGCACGAAGTTTTGCCAGAGCGGCGTTTTCAGTTTGGAATGTTTTTATTTCATTTTCGAGTTCATGGACTTTGGACACGAGCAACACTTTATGGGCCTCCAAGTCTGACTCTTCTTTCCTGAGTCCAGCCCCTGGAGGCGTCAGCAGACTCGTCGCTTCTGGCACGTTCCTCGACGCCGCTTTGCCGCAGCGCCCATCATCCGCGGGTTTAACGCGGCCCGCCTTTTCGTAATTAACGTCGGTGTTCGGACGGCTTGTTTGCTTGCGATTCTTGCCAAATGCTTCCCACACTGGGAACGATGCGCTGTTACGAGGAATTCTTGGCGGTGAGAACTGCAGCACTTCATGGTGAACGGTTAACGGGGCATCATTGCGCTCTCCCCGACCATGAGAATCATCAACTTTTTCGACGGTGAACATTGAAGCTGGTATTTTCCCATCAGCGCTCATTTTATTCAAGATCTCCAAGTCAGATACATTAAATACTTCAGAAGCATCAGAAGTAGTGGGCACTTCACTAACTGCGTCGTCGTCAGCGGAAAATTCTAGAATTTGCGCTCCCTGTTCACAAAACTGTACGGATTTTCTAGCCTTAGCGCCGTCATCACACATTACTCTCTTTTCTGAATCAAGATTTTTAAGGAGAAGGTCCGCTTTATGAGGATGAGGAGAATCTGGACAGAACGCATCGTTGCAAGCGCGAATGTCGGCTAAACGTCGGTAATTTGAAGGCGAGGCGACGGGTGTGGAAGCATTGCCGCCATCCACGTCACGACGGAGCAAGTTGGTCACCACTGAAGCGTTCGAACAGAAGCTCGAGTGCTCGGCCAGTTCTTCGAGAGCTTCGAACGCCTTTAGTTCTTCTGACTCGCGTCGATGAGCGTACCGTATCGGACTCATGAATTCTAATGCGCCATCATTTGACAACTGAAATTCATGAACAGCCATGGACTGCTTTCTGAAATTTGATGCAAGATCGTCAAGTAGAAGGTTCTCACTAATTGGCGTTGACATATTAGTTCCATGTTTTTTCTTAATTTTCAACGGTTTAACGTTATACCTGCGAGTCCCAGTCCCTTTTTTCAAAAAAGAAAATTTAGGTTTGGCCGCTGCTGTCGGTTCATTCGTGGTTTCAGAAGACTCTCTCACAATATTATTAGGACTGCGAAATCTTGACATTCCTGAACCTCTCTTCAAGAATTTTCTTTTGGGCCGAGAAGTGTCCGAGATGCTGACATCCAACGAATTTTCTTTCAGTTTCTCCGACACAAGCTCTTCAAAAGACTTATTGGTAGAAGACAGAGGACGTTCTTGATCTCGTAGGTAGAGAAGAGAAGAATCCGTATTCAAACCCCCACGGGGACCAGGTTCAGGCAGCTGTTCCTCTACAGAACGTACGGAGGTCGGTTTTTGATTAGTATGACTTCCTAAGGTCTCATCTGTCGAATACTGATTATATTTATTTGAAGAAAACTCTTTGGGACTCTTATAAGCACCAGGATCATACGATCCAGAAGTCTCAGTAGTGATATCCATCCAATTGGGTAGCGAATTTTCATCCATTTCATTAATCAGACATGATTTCTTGGGCACATTAGAGGGTTTCGCGGTGGACTCATCGTCGGAACTGTGAGCAACACCTGCAATATTTCCCGTAAGCTCTGCCAGAGGATATCTGATGGCATCTGCTTGACGAACACACTTGGAAGCACGGCTCTCAAAGGGCGGTGCTGCGGGCGTGGACGTAGCAAATTTGGCCGCGACGTTGCACGGTCCAACGGGAGAAGGAATAGCTACATTATCTGGAGATCCACCAGACGATTGATGGCGGTTCAGAAGATACTGTTTTTTCCTAAGGGCAACCAAGTGGTGCATTAGGGACCCAGACGGCAGGCCCGACAGCGGGGTCGACATCAAATGAGAGCCGAAGACTCCTGCTGCCTCTGCACCTGAGGGCCGAGGAGCTGGCCTTTCATCTCCGAATGCTACCTTATTACCATCTGGGGGTGCAGAGCTCTTGCACGCATGCGTTGAAGGCTCGTTTTCAGCATGTCCATCCATCTTCTAACGAGGCCTTCGATAACTACAACAAACTAGGTAAATAGCTATTTACGAAATAGGAGGTTTGGCCACAATGTACAGTGATATTCATCAGTAATATGCTCGTTGGACTTGTGAATTCTCAATTTGAATTTCAGAGTCACATATAAATTAAAACGTGAGTGTTTATGGGAATAGGATCGAGACGCTCTTGACAACATGAATGAAAAAATTAAGTATAATAGAGACCTAGAAAACACGAATGATTAAACTCTATGTGTTCCTACTTTTTCACAATGTTGGTATTTTAATTCAAAGTCTAATTTTCTGTAAAGAAACAAAAAATGCACCACTGAGATGTTGAGGCACACTCAAGAGATAAATCAAGCATAAAACAGTTCACTTCGTAACTCAAGTTATTGCTACACAACAACTTTGTCCAAGGTTGAAAGTTTACCAGAACAGAGCAAAAAGTCCCCTAAAATATTGGTCAAGTTTTCCCACGTAAAATAAGTCTTCATGAATATTAATTAAGAAAAGTCATACTAATACCCAAAAAATATTTATAAACCGGTATATATAGGTATTCTTTTCGCTCACATACGAGTGTAAAACTTCAATTGAACTTGAGATCTACAAGTGACTCGTGAGAAAGTTTCACTCAATATAAACTGGTCTTTTTCATTATTTTCAGGAATTCTTCCTCACTAACTTGATTATCACCATCACAGTCAGCTTCTTCAATCATTTCCTGCAATTCTTCATGAGATAAGTTTTCACCAAGCGTCTCAGCGACCTGCTTCAGATTTTCTAGAGAAATTTTACCAGTACTGTCACAGTCAAACAGTTTAAATGCTTTTTGTATTTCTTCCTTAACATCTTTCTCGGCCATTTTAATGGTCATGAGGTGGAGGAAATCATCAAACTTGATCAATCCTGTGCTATCTCGGTCCACCTCAGCAATCATCTTCTTGATCTCTTCCTTCTTAGGCTCAAAGCCCAAGGCGCGAATTGCCACTTTCAGTTCTTTGGTTGGAATACTTCCTGGAAAATTAAAATCAAGTGAGTTGTAATGGAATGCAACAATTTACTTTCTCATTGTATCGACAAAATAGTTCATGAATAATATATATTATTGGGCATGAGAGCTCCCAAAATTTGTGTGTGCATAGGATTTTCCCAATATTTAGGAAATTGAAAAGTGGTTAAGAAATTATACCACAATTAGAACTGAGAAATGAGTGGTATATAATATCAGTACTTTAAAACATATGCCTACAATGAAAACAAAATAGGCATTCACATGCAAGAACTGTTGTCATAACAAGCCATGTCTAAAAAGATGAGTGTCTTAAGACTATATAACATATGATACAGAAGACCTTGAATAACAATTAATTATGATTGACTTCTTAGTCTTGTAAATCAGAACTGGAATAAACTAACCAAAATAATTTATAAAGAGGCCTAATTCAGAACAATCATTCACTGACCAGCTTTAGTAGGATCAAAGAGATTGAAGGCTTCCTTTATGTCATTCTTCTGCTCGTCTGAGAGCTCAAACTTGGAGCTTCCAGACTTGCGCTTGCCTGAGCTGCCCACAGACCCCCTCTTGGTGTTGGCAGAGGCTGCAGTGCTGCTCATCACGGCCACACGGTGCTTCTCTCAGCCTATACAATATTAACACTTATAAATGAGATGAAATTCATAGCCTTAACGACACAAGGGAATCCTTATTTTTTTTCAATTCAATAACCATGTTGAAGTAGCATGAAGAAGCCTGACAGGCATTAATTCAGGTAAATTCAATTTACGATTTAATTGAAATATTTATAACCAAAACGTTTACTGTCTGTGACTCTTGCAGTGAAAAATCTATGGTAGAAATCTGCCAACTGGTAAATTCTACAATACCTAGAAGCAGCTAAAGGCACAATTTAGTCCAATCCACAATGCCAATACTATAATACTATCCTATTCAGGGCATTTTCAGACTTATTTAGCTGCATCACAATTGAACTGGTTTTTAATGTATTATTTGAATTTTATGTACCTAATATAAAATGCAATTATTACCTCCTTTAATTCAGCCAAAAAATTAAAACACTACAAATTTGCACTGATTCATATGCTTCAAATGTTTAATCCTGGTAATGGTTTCATGTGTAATTCCATCAACTTATTAACTCTTGACTTTTAAGGCAGCATCAGTTGATAGAGCATAGCTTTGATGTTGCAGGGGCAGTTGTTACTTTAGAACCAAACCCTTCAGCTTTCCAGATAATCATCATTCTTCTAATTTTCCAAAATAAGTTCAATTTCTCTCAATCTTTGTTCCCATTACTATAGAACCTAATCCCCATTAGTTTCTTTCTCTTTATAGTCCAGCAATGATACAAAAGTAATGGAATCAAAACTATCAACTTAATTGTGCAGGATGTAATTTTCAGGTACGGTATAATTCAACATTCTATCACATAAGTAGCAGATGGCAATAGCCATGATGTCCTTGGATGTTGGGTCCTTAACAGAAATAAACAAGTAGCACCTATCACATAAGTAAATAGTATGGCTACAAGGTTAGCTACATTCCTTACCTAATAAAAATAAGGAAATCTTCCAGATGTGCTCAGTTATTGCATGAACAATACAATATATCTTTGTCAATAAAGCTAATCAGTATCTGTAGGCATCTGTCCATTTATCATGCATATGATTGATAAAGATAAACTAAATATATTAATACGAGTGCGAGTGTGAGACCAGTAATTCTTGGATGTAAAAATACCATTCCATAGGTTAGGGATACTCAGGAACAAAGCTACCTATAATCTAGTGCCATCATATTAAGACAATGTCATTTGATACCAGCATCAGAACATGCATGGATATGATGAACAATAGGTTAGTGAACAACTCAATTTGACATTTATGAAAATTCAATGTCTTTTTCATAGTCTTGCTATTTAGATTGTCACTGGACATAAAACAGCTATTAAATTGAAAGGTACAGGCAAAGCATTATCATTTTCTACTCTACTTGCAAAACTGCTTCAGTTACGGACACTTACTGTTATAATAGTTAGCTATCACATAGTTTACCCAGCACATTGTGATTTCTATTTAATATTACTTAATATCACAGTTGTTATACTGATGCACTCATAAATGCAAAGAAATTATGCAATTATGTAATCATGTGAAAACTTTTATTCCATAATAAACTTAATTTAAAGTGTTTCAGAGGCTTTCATGTGAACTCTCACTAATCTCAGGTTCTGAATAAAAATGTGAAATACTGCTGTCAAATGGAGTATATAATGACGGATGATTCCGAGAGTTTTGTGTTAATAACTTCTAACCATGAAACATTTAATAAACAAGTTTGGGCTCATTTCAAAGGCATTTGCGAGGGCTATTGTATGTCATCTCCCAAAAATTCGAAATGCTATTTATAATGTGTCAGATGAAATTAAGAAAAGCATCCCAAATTTCCCCTGGGAATGGGGTAATTCAGGATACTTGGTTACCATAAAATGGGGTAACTTTGACCACTTTTTTATTTTGAAACAATGCCATTTTTTACTAGATAAGTTAAACTTAAATTGAAACATGCAAAATACAGGTCTATACTCTAGCTTTACTCACCATAAATTGCTGGCTCCTGCCTCTCATAGTCTTTATGTAATTTCAAAAAAAGTGATGGTCTTTGTTACCCCAGCTCTTGGGGTAACTTAGACCGGGTGGTAAAATCAATTATATTTTTTGGTAAAATAACTCCAAATAACTCCAGGTTTTGGTGCATTGTAGTAGAACTCTTCTAGTTACATATGCAAATGACAAACTTGAGGAAAGTGTCATAGTTTGCAAATGGGGGGCGCCGCCCCATAATGAGGGAAATGTGACTACCTAATGGCAGCCCTGATGGGGTAATATTGACTGGCTTGGAAATTAAGTTAAAATTACCATATATAAGACTCTGTAGAGTCTGAAACATAAAGAAAAAACATAAATAGGCTGTCAAACATAAAATATGTTATATATGGTAATTTTATATTAACTTCCAAGCCGGTCTATGTTACCCCGTCAGGGCTGACATTAGGTGGTCTAAGTTACCCCATTTGGGGGCGGCGCCCCCCATTTGCAAACTATGACACTTTCCTAAAATTTGTCATTTGCATATGTAACTAGAAGAGTTCTACTACAATGCATCAAAACCTGGAGTTATTTAACCAAAAAATAAAAAAATTGGAGGGGGTACTCTGACAGGCTTTAAATAATAGCTCTTTTTCGTGGGTCACATTTTTAATTTTTTAACCTATTAGATATGCAAACTTTTTAAATCTTTCTATTGTGTTATGTAGCCTCAGTATTAGGCCTTTGATGGCCATTGACAAAATTTTTCTATGTCAAATCGTTTTTGAGTTTTGGGGGTTTTTGTTAAAAAAACAAAAAGTTGTCAAAGTTACCCTGCCGGTCAAAGTAACCCCATTTTACGGTACTTGAACTAAAACTTAATTATAAGACATTTGAAGCAAGCAGAGTGTACTCATCCAATACTAACAGTACTGTGAAGTCTACCTCTTCTTTTGCAGATGATGTATATGTAGAATTATTGACATTTCTGTGTTTGGTACATATTTTCCTTTATTGATATGACCATATCCATACATTACAGTTGTATTGATGTGATATTACCATATCCATGGGCATGCCATCAAGCATTGACAATGACCTAGATTATTGCAAGCTTCATATCAGCAGTCATATAGCATTTCTTCTGTATATGTAAGCTTACAGAACTGGGCTTGTAATTATGCACCATTTTAAGTGGGTCAAGAGAATTCACTACCATCAAACGGGGCAATAAGGGACGGAGAAGACAGTCCTCTGACATTTTGTAGAAATGTTGCAGCAACTAAACTAATTAGAATATTGCAAAACTAAAAATAGTGGCATAAATTTCAACCTTTTTCCTATCTATGTAGTAGCATAAAGCAAGTTAAGAAATCATACATTTACTACTTCTAAAAAATTCCTTGGAGACACTTTGAAGAGGAACCAACCCACCTGGATCAGCTGAAACAAAAGGAAAACAACATCAGCACTTCAATCAAGCATCAGCTAATGGGAAATACTATGAAGAGGAATAAGACCGCTTGAAAACATAGAAAAACTGCAATTCCACAAACAATTGATGGTTATCTGAAAAACCATACATTGAATCATCATGACCAAGAAGATCAACAAAAACCATGATATAGTTGCAGTGCTCCTATGAGCTAATTAAACCTATAAGTGGTTGGAAAAATCAGTATTGGAAAAACATTAAGTAATGCCATGTCCAGGTGTGACAGTTGGCCTGACTGAGACCACCTCTACACCTCCAACAAAGCAAGCAAGCAAAAAATTCCTGAAAAAATGTGAAAAGTGAGATTTTGGAAGAGTACCTACCTCAGCTAAGGTCTGTAGCAAACATAATACCGTCAACCGGGGCTACTCCGGACAAGCGGGGCTACTCGGGACAGGCCTCCAACACGTCGTAAAACTGTTGTAGTAGCGGAACTAATTGGAATATTGCAAAACTAAAAATAGTGGCGTAAACATCAACATTTTTCCTATCTATGTAGTATAAAGGAAGTCGAAAAATACTACATTTACTTGCTTTGTGGACAAAGTTGTTGTCAATGCTCAATGGCATGTGTGGATACGGTAATATTACATAAATAATATGGTGCTGGTAATATATGAGTATGAATATGATAAGGTAATATCATATCAATTATCAACACAAGCGTGGAAAACATCCACCTTTAGGGCCACAACTAGAGCTTTCCCGTGCCTGCCACAGGCGCCATTTCTGGAACCACAAGATTTCCACCAGATGAATTACCTTTTATCTAATTATTAACAAAATTAGTATAGGTTGGCAGAATTTCTTCTTTCAAGCAGGTTTCATTATTAAGCAGATGAACGTATCCTTCATTCTATCGTTCACAACAACATCGTGAACGTAACTAATAATAAAATTAAACTACTGATTTATTACAAAAACAAGAAAATACAGAATCTTGTAATGAACAATAACCCCTGCAAAAAAACAGGAGTTTTCCAAGAGACCAATGTAGTCTATAAATTTTCTTGCAATAGAGGAGGTTGTAGACTTCTCCCCAATATGGACTACATCGGGCTCACAACTACGACATTAAGCCGATGTCTCACGTGCCACCTTCAGTCTGGTGGACCAAAGAACCACCTGATGGAAGCCCACAACGAGACCATCACTCGTACGGTGCTGGAAGAATGCACCAGCATTGTCATGAGATGCCCCGACGCCAACCGACTCATGATAGCTGAAGCCCTCATCATTAAGGATAGGACCCCAGCCATCAACCTTCAAACTACTGGATTTGTCAGAACCTTGAGACTGTTTTCAGAGTAATTTTCGGTGCTTTGATTCTAAATTATTTTGTGATTTTGTAATTATTCCTAACAATTTTGATTTTTGAGTAGTATCCTATTTACTTGACTTTGTACTTATGTCGACGCTAATTTCATCACTCAATGCGCCTTTTAACTTGATAATGAATGATAGAAACATTCGAAACGTCGTTAACAAAATAAAAATGTCCATCGGTAACCTGATTTTTGATTTGCCAGTTCAAACTAAAAATATTGTTCAATATATTGAAAAAACTAATAAGAAAATTGCAAATAAAACAAATTCTCTGGTCTTCAATGAAACCTTATTAACAAAAGTGTAGGATTGGTTTGTGAGATTCCAATTGTATTAAAAATTTGTCACATTGGAGCTGCAATATTTCAGAAACAAGTAGAAAATTCCAATCCTGTAATCAACAAAGGAAAAACAATAAAAAATAACAGACAGTCATTTATTCTGCATCTACCTACATCGTCATCATCTACACTACAAAGGATGAAAGGAAGAAGAGGCTATCACTCAGTATCAGAGTAGGTAAGTGAGAGTACTGTTACTGAGTGTTAGTAGTGCAAAGAAGTATGTACACTCAACACTCTGCAAGCTTCAAATGTTTTAAAATTAAGTTTTATTTCAAGTGTCCCAGAATACCCAGATTACCCCATTCCCAGGGCCAGGGGTACGCTGGGTACTTAATTAATAATTAGGGACACTTAGGTATTTTGTAACTGGTAATCTGGCAGTGGGCAATAGGCCTAGCACCTTACAAATAGGTGATAGCATAGCTATGTAATTTTTTTTGAAAATGCCATACAATAGCCCATGCAAAAGTTTTTAAAATAAGCCCAAACTTGTTTATGAAATGTTTCATGGTAAGAAATTATTTTAAAAATGCTTAAAAGTTAAAACCGTCCCTTATTACCCCGTTCATCATAAAAAATACTGTACAACCACAACGGGATGAGGCCCGTTGTACCTGCAGTATTTTTCATGATAACAAAATGTTTGTTTTGGGTCCATTTTAAACAATATTTCCTTTTCCCCATACCTAGGTTGTAGCGTGGCAACTTTAGTGACATTGACGGTGGTATAGGCCTAGCACTGTTGCGAGTGTAAGTAAACCGTAAATAAAGGAGCCTCCAACTTTTTTTCTATCCTAACTTTAGAATAATTAAATATACTCATTAACACTTCTATTCAATAGCAACAGCAATACTCACAAAAATATGGCTAGGCAACCACGGTAGATATTATTATTTGTCCTGACAGTACAATAGAGGTACGACACTCCAATAAACGAAAAACAACACTAAATACCCAGCGTTTAGCGTTCAGGCGTTGCGGTTGGGAAACGAAATTATGTTACACAGCTAGTAAACAGCTGTTAGACGTCAGCGGGACGATACAATATCCGCCGGTGTAAAGGAAAAACGGCCAAATTAACTCATAAACAAAGCAAAGAATGGTCACTAGTTGATAATTTTGATTTGCTTCGCAACAATACAATTGTTAGGATTTGTCGTATTCATATATCACAATAAATTCAAGTCTAACATGCATTTATTAATGCCAACTCAATTGGAAAAGGGTCAATCGGCGATTCGGCCGTAAAAAGGCGCATCTAGCACCTAACGTTTAGACACCCTCAAATCTCCGCCACCCGGGAATCAAATTTTGTATAAAAAAGCCAGGTACATGCATAAAAGCTCTAATCCTTTCTGTATTCCTTTATTGAGGGATATAATGACATGTCCAGGTAAGACAGCCTTCACCCTTTCAAGCGGGACCATGTGGACGCACCTCTGTTGCAAGAAAATGACATTATAAAGTCGATTTTAGACGATAATAAAACACGGTCAAATCATCTTCAAACGGTATACGCATTCAACTGGGTGAATAAAAGACCTTCAGAGGTAATCAAGCGTGACACATGATAGAAGCGAACCGAAAACGCTGATGATACGATTATTCGGCGTGATCAAATTACCGCTACACGTCATTCAGCTTCAACTTAGTGAATATTCCAGTCTTGTGAAGAATACTGTTTGCTTGTGAAGAATAAATGCTAAATGAGCTTTGCCACATGGTTCCGTAGGGCAAAAATATTTAAACCCTGCTGTGCTACTAACTCATTCATGCGAAAACACTTCTAACTCACCGCTGACATCGTTGAACACGTTCAAGAACGGGCCTAGACAACGTTATGCAGAGGTATATGTTAAGCCATGCAATTCCATCACCTCACGTACATGGTAAAATCAGTCGCTACTCTCCGCCAGACTGGCACCGACCTACCTATTTCGTCATCTATCTTAGCCGTTACATTGACGGCGTAGGTCACCTTCAGTGACATCACACTAGCGGTTCTATGCAATGCCTTCAGCACCGATAAGGCAGGCACCACCCAGCCTTCCAAGCAACACGTTTGCTGGCTGAAGTTGAGGTTTGCTAACGGTCCGTAACATAAATATAGTATCCACAAGAGCTTCGCTGTGTCTTTCAGTCTACTTTGATGGTCTAAGACCACTTTAACTCACTCTGTCCCTAGGAACTAATACAGTAATTTGCCAAAAGCAAGACGATTGGACACTACTTATCATTCCAACGTCAAGTTAGAAAAGATTCGGTAAAAAAAAACATTTTTTAGATCTCCTGAAAACAAGTCACGAAAAATTATAAGAATAGGAGACAGTCAGACCGGATAAACTTAGCCTATCCTTCAGCGCCTAAACTATTATACTAATTCAAGGTGATCTGCCAGAGGTAATCAGGCGAGCAACTTAATGAAGGGCAAGCGAAAACACCGAAGCAGAGCACCGAATTCATCACTGTAGGACAGCTGATAAGTTGAGATACCGTTCTTGATCTAGCATAAAGCGCATAACTTAGGTCATGGTTGAACTAGTATAAGGTTGACCCACCAGAAGCCCATCTTTGCGGATGTAGCGTATTGTTCGCCTGCGACGTCACTGATCTCAGTGACGTCATGGGCATTGACCAATCACCGAAATGTGATAAAAACCAGTCAACCAATTCGTCATGGGAATGACGGGTTTGTTTACGTTTCTCGATCTACTTGACGTAACAAGAAAGCTGAACTGAAAGACGGAACTTCTCGGGTCAACCTTATATAGTTCAACCATAACTTAGGTAGCCTTGAACGGACACCATGTAAACTTCACGTTGAAACATTGGGTCATACGACTAGCATTGAAGTCATCTCCGTCACATTGAACACCCAACTTCCTAGTTCATATCCTAATTTTTTAGTCCACAAACTGGTTTGTGAGCGGTCAAATGAAGGTTTTGACGGATTACATCCCAGAGATAATGGTAGTCAAGACTCCACTTCCAAATAAGGTGGCATCCATAAATGTACAAAGATCATTCTCTGGAAACAAACGTTCACTTTATTTGTGTTTCAACTTGAATTAGCAATAAATGATAACTGTACAGAATAAAAAATGTACAGCATTCACTTAGAATGCAGAAATTTGACTGCGCAGCATGTAAAGAAAAAATACTATGTGCAATCATAGGACAACCATTCATAACGGTACATGAAGCAAACGTTAGTAACATATTATTCATCGTCGTCGCTGTCGTTGTTCCAGTTGCGCCGGCCGTAGTTCTTCCAGGCTTCTGGGTACTGCTTGGCCAGGAAACTCCGCTCATCTCCGTACTCAGTGATGAGATCTATCAGCGCCTGTTCAAGGACACGTTCATATAAATAATTCATATAAATGTACACCAAGCCATAATAAAAAAATCTGCATGGCTCAAAAGTAACCTATTGGTCTCGTAGAAACGGGATGAGACTAACATGTGTTGCCGCTCTGGCAAAAAAAAAAAAAAGAAACGAGCGATAAATTCAGCTAATAAAATAAATTTTGTTATTCAAATCATAACAAATTAATATGCGTTTAAAAATTAATTTTTAAAGACAACACTTCCAAAGAATCCAGTGTCTCCAATCTTACAAATGTACAATGAATTTCTCATTTAATTTTCGAATTTTAAAAAAGTTAGTTTTTCAATTTTTTTTAATATATAAATTTTTTAATATATTAATTTTTTTCAAAATTATTTATTCTATTAATTGATTCCTGTATTGCCTCTGACTCCACACAAGTGTGCAAAATTTCAGATCAATCAGACGGATAAAAGTGTGTCAGATATCAGTTATAAGATTTGGAGCTGACAAAATTATTTTTTCAATTTTTTTAATATTGAAAAATTTTTTTTTTTAATTTTTAAAATCTTTTATTTTGACATTTGATTCATGCATTGTCTCCGACTTTACACAAGTGTGCAAAATTTCAGATCGATAGGATAAGTAGAAGTGTATTAAATTAAGATTACAAGATTTGTAGCAGACAGACAGACAAACAGACAGACAAATAAAAAGAACCGCATTTAGAAAAAGCTACGCATAAAAACTGGTGCATCTAAAAACAAAATTTAACAACATCTTAGAAGAGGACGGAAACATTTACCAGTTTACTCATTAGTTAGTTCACTGACCCGCCTGAAGTTGCGACGCTCTTTGTACTTGCGCAAGAAAGTCTCCCGTCCTTCGGGTTGCCGTCCTTTCTTGGGCAGCAGTGGCAAGATGCTCGAGGGCTCCTCGACAGGCTTCAACATCACTCGGTCTCCCATCACGTACTGGATACGGTATAATTTATCATTAATATACTTCAATTCTTTTCTGCACCCATCAAAGTGAAATAATAATGGTTGAGTTCCTTGTTCGCCGATACGTTATCGGTGGGGTTACTGGTTTATGCTATTGCACCTAAAGGCATGGTAACTCGAGATACCTTCAGTATTGATGGCGGTCAAGCAAACGAACACAGCCATAATTAATTTTTTCCTACTAGGTCAGTGTTGCAAGTCCTTTAATGATTTCATTCACATTCAATCAAAATTATTTGACGTGTGAAATCAACAAAGATCTCAATCTTTCGATCGATGAACTAGAATTCAACAGCTCTGCATTCAAATATATACAGGATTGATAATGGATCAGAACGATGGCCGTATCAACGGGGCAAGAGTGCAGTACCATCCAACCATGGTAACCGTCCTCACTCTCGTATACACCGCAGAATTAAAGAGGGAACGATATGTACAATACCAAATAAGCTCTAATTGAAATAATTGACTAATATGAACGCAATATTTATGCGTGATGATTTCTAAGCTCCCATAATATTATATATTATAAACCTATAGGCAATAAACATGATGTAGTTACCGTGCTGAAGTCAAGATTTTCGTTAGGCGGAATATCTGACAAGGTTCTGAGGGGGGCGTGGACGGGCGATGCGAGAACCTTGGGGTAGTTGAACTGCTCCTTACGCAGCTCCACCACGTGCAGACCCTTCTCCTCTGCCAGCTGCTGGTAGCTTTTCTGTCCAGCAGCCAAGGGATATTGAATTGATCAAGTTTATACTGGTAACTCGAGGTTACTGGGAAAAATCAGACACTGAACACATCATAATTACACTTACTGTATATACTGATTTAACGATGCTAGCTCGTTCAGCGCAAATTTAAATCATTTTATTCTTCAGTTATATACGCGATGAGAAATAAGTGTACAAAACAGCAAAATTGTTTTTATCAATAAAAATATGAGTAAAATGCCGTACACAGGCATGAAAAGGCGAAAGCAGAAATGAGCACTGGTTGAAACAAATTAGTTTCTAATAACGATACAGTCTATCATACAAATTTTATAATCAAAATGGTTATATGATAAGCTTCCGTAACCTGCAAATTGACAATTGTCGTAAGGATCAACGTTCAAACCTGTTTCATAAGTCCCAGGAAGAAAGCCTTGACAACCTCGCGCACGTTTTTGGGGCCTTTAATATAAACGTGCAAGTCCTTGATGCCGATTATCTCACACGCCGCCTTGAGGGCGCGGTGACACACGAGACCGTGACCCTCAGGCATCTTCCGCACGAACACTTCTGTGATGCCGGACTGCGAGTGGAAGTCGTGAAGAACTGCACGTTACAAAAGCTTATGATAGTAAACTTAGTGAATGAAGTTAGGGTCATGTTTGACTGTCTGTCACCAACACTACATACGTACAAAAATTAAGATGTCTGTCACAATTTATGGTTTTTGACTCAATCTAGGTGCTTTCACAAATTTTGGTTAACCATGTTATCATTTCTTCGCAAATTTAATTCCGATATTTTTTGATTTACCGAAGTTTACCGAGCACTCTTGCTCACGCGCGGAGAAGGCTAATTAATGCAACAGAAATGGAATTCCTTATCAGGTCTTGAGTGAATTTAGCAAAATCAGAACCAGAGTGCAGGCTGAAAGGCGAGAAATAAATGCCATAACACAAATTCAAAGCAGAGCGAAGAGAATCGAATTACTCAAAGAGTCTTAATCATATCACAAAGGATCATGACAGCAATGGCAACGCCAGAAGTTGTTAGTGAAATGAAGTTGGTGCAGAACTGCAAGTAGCATCAACAAATAAAATTTATTCCAAACTTGCATTGCAGGGTTAAAAATGATAGAAGTGGCAAAAGATTTTCTACTGACTGGTATGGTTATTATAGAGAGGGATTTTGATGAGCCGCTGGCCAGCCCTGTTCTTGGACATGGAGAGGGCGGTGTTGGGGGCGGGGGCTCTGGCGAGAGCAAACCCAGCCAATCCCATGCCGTCTCCCGTCACCGACAAGACGCTTACACGCCGGAACTTGCCGCCGTCGCCACGCATGTGCGACACAACCTTGTACTCTAGAACCACCGACTCGAACCCTTCAAAAGTATCTGTAAAAAATGTTGACTTTGGTACAAATGTGTAGGTACAAGCTGTCTGTAACGAATATAAACTCTTACTAGTTTTAGGTACAAGCTGTCTGTTGGGCATATCAAATCTTATTAGGTGTAGGTACAAGCTGTCTGTTGGCAATATCAAATCTTACTAGGTGTAGGTACAAGCTGTATTGTAACGAATATTAACTCTCAGTAGTTTTAGGTACAAGCTGTGTGTTGGGAATATCAAATCTTATTGATGTGGGTACAAGCTCTATGTTGGGTATACCTAATCTTATTGGATGTAGGTACAAGCTGTATGATGAAGGATACGTATATCGAATTTTAGTAAGTTCTGGTATTAGCTGTCTGCAAGGAATATCAAGTCTTAGTAGGTGTAGGTACAAGCTGTCTGTTGGGAATATCAATTGTCATTATTTTCATAAATAAAATTATCCATGGAATATTTCGTTGCTTATCAGGTTCAGAAAATGAACTACTTTTACAAGATATCATTAGGTATTAGGTTTTAGGTAGGTCAGAGATAAATTCAACAGTTACAAGGTTCTGATTCCATTCACTCCAAAACTAGTTGCGCAGAGTAAAAATAGCAAATCTAGCAAGATATAATGAACATACTTTTGCATCAAACTTGTATTTTGAAAATTAGGAGTGAGAATAGTAAGAATATCACCTGGACCAGATACATTATCTGATGAAATAATTTGAAATCGATCTCTATACCTTTCAGTCTATCTATAAATTTAGATGATGAAATAAAATATCAAGCTGGTGGTTTGCATTTTTTTCACTAACCATTTCCCACAGGGTCAGGGGGCCCTATCTTTTTGCCACCCATTTTGGTGCCTGTCCAGCCTCTCTCGAGCGGATTGACCTTCCTGAAGCGTACTCGTCCCATCTTGTCTCTGATCTCCAGGAGCTTGCGGTGTCGATCAGGGTCAGGACCTAGCATCTGTTGCTGCACCACCTCTTGCCCTCGGATTATGGGTGCATTTAAGCCAGGCCATACCATGTTAACAGCACCTGATACATCATCAACAAGATTAACAAGTATCAAGAGTTATCAACAAACATTTTTAGCATATTAAAACCAATATCATTGCCAAATAGAAATTAGTTTTTCTTATACAACTTGACAAGTAAAAAACGTATCCATACTTGATTTAATATTTAATGGGATAGTTTAAAAGCAAAAATATCACTTGAAAATTACAGTAGAACCTTGGTTAGTGAAGGTCTTTGGTAAGGACCAAGAATTTCAATAAAAATTTATCCCTGCTAACAAACAAAATTTAAGTTAACAAAGAACTAATGCTTCATGAACAGGAACGTAACCCAGCTTACAAGACATGATGCTCACTCCTGCAGAAGATTTTGCTTTGGTCAGACGTTCGTAATCTTTATCGGTCCACACCCATCATATATAGTAGAGATTTTGTGCTTTTTGAATAATTATAGCCCTCAGTCATGCCTCCAAAGAAGCTTAAGGGTGATAGTAGTGCAGTAGGTTAGAGGAGCCAAAACTTGTTTTTTTAACTATGTGATGTCCTATTACGAAAAAGTGTTACAAAAATAGGCAAAAGCAACAAACACTGAATATATTTTTCCCTCAACCTCAAAGTGACAGAGAAGATAATCAACCCCAGAGGATACAGGTCCTGATGTTCTTTTGGCGGGAGATTCCTCCTCCATGCAATAATTCATCCTTTTCTTCCCCTCCTCCTTACCACTCCAGCCAGTCATGCCATCACATCATAGTCAAAACCATGTCTCTTTATGTTTACTAAATGTTTTTATGTTTATTTAGCTCCATTTATAACTGTTCTCATTTAATAAATATACTTATATAGCCTGCATCTTTCATACATAAGCAAGTCAAGAATGACTGGGAACAAATTATTTCTGTTTCTATTGTTTCTGATGGGGGAAATTATTTGGTCAATGAATATTTCCGATAACGTCAACTTTTCTAGAATGAATTATTGTTGTCAACAAAGGTTTTGCTGCACCTTTGTGTATGTAATCAATGTGCTTTTAAACTATGTTGGAACAATTAAGCACGACAGTACTCACGACCCAGGTAATTTAGTCAATAATGATAAAAAGGGAAAAATTGTTTCAACATGTTGAGTGAGCGTGTGACCTGAGGACTCTCAGCCACAAAATCTTAAAGACTGAGTTGGAAACACAAAGATATTAACCAGGAATGATGATATGACTCAAGTCTGATTGAGCACAAAACGTATTCTTAAAACATCATGTTATAAACATCAGCTTTAATAAGTTACCAATAGCAAGTAGAAATATATTGACCATCTTATTGATAGAAAATATGCATCTATTGTATGATAAACCAACTTACCAACACCAATGACTTGTCCTCTATTGAGATCTTTGGCAAGCTTGCGCCCAGCACCTCTGCCTCGACCCTTCTGGGCTCCATGCTTACTAACGCTTATAACGCCTTTCCATAGCTTCTGTGCAGGTACTGGAAATACAGAATAATTAAAAACATTCTGATGTAAATAAAACCTTAAATTTCTCACCTTGTGACAAAATAATTTTTTTTTCAGTCATTAACAACATTAAATTTTAAATAAACACCAAACTGAGAACTTTCTTTATACTGCACCCATAAAATTTCCTCTTGAAATTATCTATTCAATTCTTCACAGTGAGAAAGAACAGGTCATGTCAATCAGAGAAAAACAAAGAAGATGCTCATTTCACATACATGCCAGCTCTGATCAACTGTCAACACTGTAAAAGGCAAGAGACACTTACATTTGTTGAAAAAGTTTGTTCCATGTCTGGTGATGGAAATCTGTGGATGTGATGTTGGTGCTAGAAGAGGCCTTAGAGGAGGACAGATCAGACCACTCTGAGGGAAAAGGTTCCTCCCTTGAGAAGGTTGACAATGCAGCTGTCGGCAACTGGCACCTGAAATGGAGTGATCATTAAAATGTGATGTAATAATTGTTATAATGTGAGAGAAAATAAGGTAATAATTTAGATTTGTAGAGGCAAAACTGAAACTGAAGCCAACCGCTTGAGTGCATTATTAGAATGATAAACTAATTAAAGCCCAATACATTTATAAATAAATCAATGAAAATTGTTAGAAAATAGATGCTTAAAATATCATTGACAAAAGCATCAATAAAGATAACATGTAAAGATGAGCCTAGAGCAACTAACATGAATGAAAACAGGATAGGGTAAACGGCAATAATTAATTATTCAACAAACACTACCGTAATGATTCTATGGTAATCATATGCAATTCCTTCAAAAATGAAATAAGATATATAACTTTGGGAGTAGGTACACTGTCTGTAAGAGTCACTTTGACAGATTTTGGATGATGATAATTTTTTGGTAGGTACTCATGCTGTCATCCATTACACACAAAAATGCAAGCTTGTGTTCACTAAAGACCAAAATACTTCATTATTTTGCTGTTTCTTACTCGGTGGGCAAATTTGGTAATCTCTAGTAATATATAGGTAATGCAATTTACTACTTACCTTCTCTGGTGAATGACAATACAAGAGTTTGAGATGAAATTAATCTTGGCAAAGGTAAAAATCTAGTAATTAAATACATTTTTATACCAAAACATGTGAAACTAGGGAATTTCAGATTTAAATAGCTTTCAAAGTAAAATTTCTGTAAAAAATTCATAAATAAATTTTAATTTTGGTTAGGCAGCCTTGAAAGAAGAACTCTTATCAATCACATATAAAACAGTTTACAGCAAATAAACATTAGCCACCATAGCACTCACTCTTCAGTCTTCACAACAGAAACCATGTAAAACGTGCCAAAATGAACTTCAATCAGATCGGGTAAGACACAACCAAAATCATCAACAATCATGTAGTACCTACTAATGAATAATTAAATAATGTGACTGAACCAAAAGTTGCGCTGGGACCCACAGGATAAGTCACAATTGAAGTGGGGTCAGACACAAGCAATCTCTAATTAATTTATTGAAATGTTTTGCCAACAGCAAATGTTCAAATGCAATTATGTTCATTTGCCACAATGTTTACACACTGTGATGCTCATCAACACATAGCTAAAAATATAATGTAATATCTTCAGGTGAAGTAGCATTGACTTCAGCAAGGATTCTATCTCACATGTTACTGACCCAAAAAGATAAGAAATTTTTTTTTCATAGTTTAGTTGCACAGCAGTTTTCAAGTTCATAAATATGGACACTGGTGTTAGTTTCTATTTCATATTCCAATAGTGCTTCCAGAATCTTATAGACACTATGAGTATATTTGTATAATTCGACCTGGTCCCCATGGATACATTGCTAACAAAGGCCTGGAAGCTTTATGATCCCTAATCATTCTTTTAAGACTTCTTTTTCTTTCTTTCTTATTTCTTTTTATAGGAGCACTGGATACTGGTCCATGCAGCCCCTTGCATAAACAGGGTTTAGTTTGCATCTAATTGTCATGTCACATCTGAAAATCTGTAAACCTGAAAAAACCAAACACCAATAGTACAATAAGAATAATAATGGCACAAAGAACAATAACAAATGAAAAAAAAAATAAATAAATTGGAGAGAAAAAAATGAATAAAATAAGAAAAACATGGTTTATGAAAACATGGCTGAATGTTTAGGTACAGAATAGGCATAGGGGATCCAAAATTGAGCATTGGCTTTAGAGATAACCAGATTTACAGTGCATTACCAGCCCAGTTAGTTGTAATATCCATACCCTAATCAGCGCCTCACATGGGGTTGTATAAGTTACTGAAGGTCCAGCCTGGGGAGGGGGCAGCCTGGAGCTTCTTTGGACTCGATAGCTAAGGCACAGTTGTACTCTTATTATGCAAATGAGAAAAAAAGGCCCCCTACGGTCAACTGGGGCTACTCGGGACGGTTTTGAGCGTTTTTTGTTAATAACTTCTTACGATGAAACATTTCATAAACAAGTTTAGGCTCATTTTATAGCTCTTTGCGAGGGCTATCGAATGGCATCTTCAAAAAAATTTCATATGCTATTCGTAAGGTGCCAGAAGCAAAAAAAAGTGTCCTGAGTAGCCCCGTCGAACGGGGCTACTCAGGACACTGGGAATAAAACTTCATTTTAAAATATTTGAAGCATGCAGAGCATATTCATCAATTACTAACAGTACTCTGAAGTCCTCCTCTTTCATTGTAGAGGATGTAGTGGTAGAATAAATTACATTTTCTGTGATTTTACTAGTTTTTCATTCATTGATATGATATTACTATAAACATTAATTACTGTCAACAGGGGTGACTTTGGCCAAGTTTTTGATTCATGCTGGGGTCGTAAACGCGGGGTCGTAAACGCCGGGGTCATAAACGCCAGGGTTGTAAACCAGGTCATAAACGCCTGAGTGACTTTGGCCACCGTTTATGACCCTTTATGACCCCACTTTGGCCATCATTATGAACATGGCCCAATCCCCCAGTTGACGGTACCCTATTATTGATGGGATATTACTGTATTATTGAGGTGATATTACCATATACATGAACATGCCATTGAGCATTTACAACAACCTTGTTCACTGCAAGCTTCATATCAGCAGCATTATAGCATTTTTTCTGTATCTGTAAGCTTACAGGACGGCTTGTAATTTGTGTGACGATAAGTGAATTTTTTTTCGCTCAGCGAGGTAAATGTAATCAATATACTTTGTTTATAATCAATTTTTTTCTTAACTGCAGCCTTTGCTAACTGAGGTTCTACTGTAAATGTGCTTTTGGGGGTGTCCCAAATAGCCCCAGGGGGGTGTCCCGAGTAGCCCTGCCGTGCGGAAATGACCGCCATTTTTTTTTTTAATGAGATAGGCCAAATCTGTCAATTACGTTTTCAAGCCAACACCTGGGTGCAACTTTTATGCAAGTAAAATTTTTTAATACGGTGAATATTTTTTTACAACACTTCTCTTTAACTTCACTTCTTGTCTGTCTGTCTGTCTGTCTGTCTGCTACAAATCTTGTAATCGAAATTTAACACACTTCTACTTTCAGCAGCAAATGCTCTATGGTTTCAGGGGATCCACAGGAACAGAGGAGGCTATCAGACAGCTTAAAGCAAGCTAAATGGGCCCTAACACCTGCATGGCCAGTGCATAGACAAGCTAGGGCAGCCTCAACTGTACATTTATTATTATGGGCCCAAGGCCAGAAGCCAACCTTGTTTTTTAAGAGTGTGAGGAAGTGGCCTTTGCCCATGTTGTTGACATGATCTAGCAGGATTGATTCCAGCCTATCATGGGCAAGTCTTATCAGCTTTTCCCTGGACATGACAGTGATGAGAATGGGCATCCCTAGTAGCATGGGCAGCAGTCCAATTTCCAGTAATTCCTTTATGTCCCAGACTATCTTGGATACATACCTCCTGCAAGGAAGTTCAAGACATACCGTCTAACAAGGTAATATGGGATGGGAGGGTAATTGGGACAGTTCACAGTTCTACAACATTGCGTTGTTGGTTGGGGTGGTTTAGGCTACTTTGCAGCACACCCACTTGTCCCTCTTATATGTGTTGCCCTTTTCCCTCTTATGTGCGTTACTGTGTGTTTTCTATTGAAGTGTTTAACCATTTTATTAATTCAACTAAAATCACTCTCATTCTTTTCAGGTCAGGGTTAGATCAGTAATTGATTATCTAAATTTATGCCAAAAACTATTCTAAAGTGTGGTGCTGAATTAGTTGCTGTCCCACGCTCCCTAGTCCCTAACCTCTCGAGTGATTTGCTGGAAAGCTCTCCCTAGTCCCTAACCTCTTGAGTGATTTGCTCTAAAGCACCCTATAAACCTCCTAACTGACTTGTATTGGAAGCAGTTATTGGTGCGCATCTTACTCATTGGTCCGTGTGCATTTTTACTTGGCGTCATCTTTAGTTCAGTTTCAGTTAATCAGTTTTACACATTTTCCTTTATTCTGCCATTTTCCTGTCACTTCAACTTATGAGATCCCAATAGTTATTAGAACCAGTATTTGTGTTTCATTTTCCTTTCCAACCTTTAGTCATCATACTAGTTTAACTCATTCTTTGTTACCAATAAGTTAGTCAAGTAGGCAACGAGTTCATCTCACCCGCATTGCGACACCGGTAACAGCGTAGAATTATTGTAGCAGCTAAACTAATTGAATTATTGCAAAACTTAATATAGTGGTGTAAAGTTTAACATTTTTCCTATCTATGTAACATAAAGCAAGTTAAGAAATCACACATTTACTATCTCTTAAAAAATCATTGACACATGAAAAGTGAGATTTTGGTAAAGCATCTGTGCTAAGGTCTGTAGCAAAAATAATATACCGTATGCCTTATTAAAAAATGTTATTTACATAAAAAAGTAGCACACATTTGCTGGCTTAAATAGGTGATTAACTGAATTTGCATGGCTCATTCCAAAAAAATGGCAGCCATTTCCACATGACAGGGCAATAAGGGACACACCCCCTCATAGTGGCAAAGCAAAGTGTTTTTAGTGTATTTTCTCATTTATGGAAAAAATGCACTACTGTGCTTGCCATGTCCATCTGTCTATCCATCCGTCCATGACCTCAAGTTTTCATTGACGAGAAAATGCGCTCTCTGTCACTCACTGCTGTGAGTACTGAGTTACATTTTTTAGATTCTGACTCAAGTTCATTTTTAGGTCTTATAAGTAGACCAGTAGAGTATCATGGATACCAGCATTGTCATACAGAAGAAATTGGATTAAATTATGAGTAAACAATGAAATTAAAAATGAACTGATTCTAAAAATCTATGGTTTGCCACTATGCTCCCCCTATAGCTTATCAAATGGCAATGTTTAGCTCGTGAACATTTTTTTAGATTTTGCTTTTGTTTGCAAGTTTCTGCCCCTAGGGTTTTAAGGGACATCCCTAAAAACAAATTTACAGTAGAACCTCAGTTAGCAAAGGCTTCAGTTAACAAAAAATCAAGTAACAACAAAAAATTTTGATGACATTTACCTCATTCAGCAAAAAAATTCCCCGTAACAAAAAATTAATGCATCATCAGTCATCACAATTCATAAATTGTGCATAGAATGTCATTATTGTCATATGATAGAGTTGTGCACAGGGCATCATAGAATGAAATATAATTAACCTAAACTCTGATTTATTTCTCCAAAAAAATGATGGTTGTCACTAAAACATTCCTTTCTGTTTAAGACTGTTTCAGGCATGTTTTTTACAATCTTTTTTATTACAGTTAATTTACTGAACCCAATTAATGGTGTGATATTACAAGCCATCTTATAAGCTTACAGATACAGAAAAAAAGCTAAATGGCTGCTGATATGATAATGAAGCTTGCACTTTGCAGTGGACAAGGTTGTTGACTTGTAAATAAAAATACTCAATGGCATGTTCATGGATATGGTAATATCCCATCAATTATCAATAATACAGTAATTAATCTGAATGGATAAGGTTTATATCATGATCATATCAATAAAGGAAAAACGGGTTGAAGTGATGGTTGAAACAGTATAATGAGTATTGAAGTGATTTCAAAAATGGATAAAAATCACAGAAAATGCCATTTATTCTACATCTACATCATCTACAAAGAAAGAGTAGGACTTCTGTACTGTTGGTAATGGATGAATTAGGTATCATGAGTTATACATAGTGGCAAA